GCTGGTCCTCACTTCCCTTGGTTTAGGATCAGGTATCCTTTGTAGTGCCATATGCCCCTCCCCCTTCTCTTTCTACCCTAGCAGTGTCTTGTGACTGCTGACTCCTGACTGCTGATCCCCTCCCATGTAGCATTGTGATTAATGTTCAGGACCCACTTATGAGTGAGAACATGTGGTATTCAGTTCTTTGTTCCCATGACAGATCAATGAATATGATGGACTCTAAATCCATCCAATTTGCTGCGAAGTCCATGATTCTTTATGACTGCATAGTAAATACTCCATCATGTATATGTACCACATTTTCTTTATCCAGTTCACTTTCAATGGGCAGCAGGATTGTTTCCATGTTTTTGCTGTTGTGAATAGTGCAACAATAAACATGTGTGTGCAGGTATCTTTTTTGTAGAATGATTTAAATTCCACCAAGTATATTCCCAGAAGGGAGATTGCTGGGTCACATGGAAGGTCAATTTCTGGTTCTTTAAAAACCACCACAATGTTTTCCATAGAGGGTGGAATGTCCCATCTTTAAACTTTAAGAGTATTTATTGTCAAACTCTATATATCTGAATTACGTACTCCCTGGTATTATTCACTGTTGCTTTCTGTGGCTGTCTCCATTCCCCACCTAGATGTTAAGTCCCTTGAACACAAGGCCATGTTTTATACATCAGAACTTCTCAAACTTTAATGTGTACATGAATCACTCCAGTATCTTGTAAAAATGGAGATTCTAGTTAAGAAGGTCTGAGGTAGGGTCTGAGACTCCACATATCTAGGAGATTCCCTCGGTAGTAGTGCTGAACTTGCACGGCACAGCACTCAGTAATTGATTAATTGCTGCTCTCCCTTAGAAACCATGCAGAAGTCCATTTTCTTTCCTAGACGTTGTTTTCCCTGTCTGCAGTGTATAAAAGGGGTAATATAGTTTATTTTTGTTATGGGCAGGCAGTATAGGGTGGCAGGTTAAAGTTAGAGCTTTGAGCCACTCAACATAAAATGCTAACATCTATCAAGTATGTGTTAGGCACTGGGCTTTTTTGTTTTTTGTTTTTTTGGTTTTTTTGAGTTGGCGTCTCACTCTGTCACCCAGACTGGAGTGCAGTGGCCACTCCCAGTCACCGCAGCCTCGACCTGCTGGGCTCCGGCGATCCTTCTGCCTCAGCCTTCCAAGTAGCCGGAACTACAAGTGCGCTACCACACCCGGCTAATTTTTGATTTATTGTAGAGATGAGGTCTCGCCAACTTGCCCAGGCGGGTCTCGAACCTGTGGGCTCAGGCAATCCACTTACCTCAGCCTCCCAAGGCGCGGGATTACAGGCTGAGCCACCGAGCCTGGCTGCTTTTTTGTTTTTTTTAAACAGGGTCTCTGTCACTCTGGCTGAAGTACAGTGGTATGATGATAGCTCACTGCAGTCTTGAACTCCTAAGGTCAAGTGATCCTTCTGTTTCAGCCTCCCAAGTAGCTGGACTACAGGCATGCACCACCATGCCTGGCATATTTTAATTTTTTTAAAAATAGAGTTTGCCTCCCAAAGTACTGGAATTACAGGTGTGAACCACCATGCCTGGCCTATGATAAGTATTTTATATGTGTTATTGGATTTAGTCTTTTGAAAGAAAAACATCAAATAAAAACAAAAAGCCCATTATGTTATGTTTGAGTTTTCAGAAAATAAGTATCAATTTCTTAAGTAATCTTTCTGTAAGACAATTGAGCTTCCATAAATTTTAAAGAAAATATCCCTTCAAGAAAAGCTTAGTAAACCAAATGTGGTGGCTTACACCTATAATCTCAGCACTTTGAGAGGTGGGAAGATCGCTTGAGTCCAGGAATTTGAGACCTGGCTGGGCAACAAAGCAAGACCTTATTGCTACAAAAAAATAGAAAAGTTAGCTGGGCTGGATGGCATGTGCCTGTAGTCCCAGCTACCTGGGAGGTTGAAGCAGGAGAATCACTTGAACCCAGGAATTTGAGGCTACAGTGAGCTGTGATCATACCATTGCATTCCAGCCTGGGTGACAGAGTGAAACCTGTCTCAAAAAAAGAAAAGCTTAGTAAGTTTCCTGCAAGGATTTTTTAATATCTGTTAACAGTTTAAAAATCATGATTGCTTTTTCACAATAGCTACTGTGTTGTACCTTATACAGTCATATGGAATGATTTCAAAAGACTTTAAGTCAACTAAAAGACAGGGAGTTTAACTTGCATAACTCAGAGAAGTGAATTATGAATTTATAAACATAAAATTATAATTGCTCTCTTCTGGGTTTCAGGAGCTCAAGAACAGTAATTTGGCCAGAGCAAAAATTCATTTGTTTTGAGATTTCATTCAAATTCACATTCTCACTAGAGAGTGTTTTGCTGGCTAAAAATGGATTTTCATTATCAATAAGAAAACTCATATTTCTTTTTTGTTGTTGTTGTTGTCTGAGATGTGTCTTTTTACCTGTTGAATTTTTTTTTGAATTGGAGTCCCACTCTGTTGCCCAGACTGGAGTGCAGTGGCTGCTCCCGGCCACCGCAGCCTCGCCTGCTCTGCTCCGGCGATCCTTCCACCTCAGCCTTCCAAGTAGCCGGAATTACAGGCATGCGCTACCATGCCCGGCTGATTTTTTGATTTATTGTAGAGATGAGGTCTCGCTACCCAGGCGGGTCTCAAACCCGCAGGCTCAGGCAATCCACTCACCTCAGCCTCCCAAAGGTGCGGGATTATAGGCTGAGCCACCGAGCCCGGCTCCTGTTGAATGTTTTACAAGATGTATTTATACTGGCTGCATGTTGTATGAGTTGTTTCTGTCACTGTTGCACTTTGGGTAAGATGTGTTTATAACTAGCTGCATGTTGTATGACATGCATCTTTCACTGTTGCAGGTTGTACAAGAAGTGTTTATTCTGGGTGCATGTTGTATGAGCTGTGTCTGTCACTGTTGCACGTTGTGTAAGCTGTGTTTATAACTGGTGGCATGTTGTATAAGATTTGTCTTTCACTCTTGGAGTTTGTATAAGAAGTGTTTATGCTGGGTGCATGTTGTATGAGATGTATCTGTCATTGAAAACTCATATTTCTGGCCCATTTTTTTTTTGAGTTTAGAGGAAAATGTGAGTGTGTGTGTATATATATACTTGTGAATATATATACACAATATATACATATTGTGAATATATATACACAAGTATATATATTCACAATAAACCTTTGACATAAGTGTTATTATTCATATTTTAAAAGTTTGGAGTCCAGGCTCATCATAGCCTGAGGTCGCCGGATCTAACAGGAACTGGGAAGTTAAGCTGGGATTGGACACGATTAGTACTTAGATGGGAGACTGCCTGGGATTACCATGTGCCCCCCACCTCCCGAAAACTTTTGCCAGGTGCAGGGCATGGTGGCTCAAGCCTGTAATCCCAGCACTTTGGGAAACAGAGATGAGAGAACAGCCATGGGTTTGAGACCAACCTGGGCAATTTGGCAAGACCTTATCTCTACAATAAATTTTAAAAATTAGCCAGGCATGGTGGCATGTGCCTGTAGTTCCAGCTACTTGGAAAGCTGAGGTGGAAGAATCGCCTGAGCCCAGCAGGCCAAGGCTGCAGTGGCTGTGAGCATGCCACTGCACTCCAACCTGGGTGACTGAGTGAGACTCCAACTCAAAAAAAAAAAAAGTTTGGAAACTGAGGCTCTGTAAGTTTAAATGACTTGCCCACTCTTTCTCTTGCACTCTTACTCTTGACCCATGATATAAATACAATTCTGTTTCCCAAGCTCACATGATTTTTTTTTTTCAGTCAGAATCTCACTCTGTCACCTAGGCTAGAGTGCAGTGGCACACTCACAGCCACCACAGCCTTGACCTGCTGGGCCCAGGTGATCCTTTTACCTCAGCCTTCCAAGTAGCTGAAACTACAGGCATGTACCACCATTCCCGACTAATTTATAAAATTTATTGTAGAGATACGGTCTTGCTAAGTTACCCAGGCTTGTCTCAAACCAGTGGGCTCAGGCAATCCTCTCATCTCGGCTAGGATTATAGGTGGAGCTGCCACGCCCGGAACTTTTTTTTTTTTTTAACATTTTATTATGAAAAATTTAAATCCTACAGAAAAGTTTCCAGAACGGTTCAGTGAATACCCATGCACCTTTCCTCTAGATGTACCAGTTGTTATTGTTTTCTACATTTGCAAAGTTCTCATTCTTAATCACTGTACTGTTTATTTAGGTATGTCATGTTCTTAGGAATATTATAAGCTCTCTTTAATTTCTTCATCCATAAAGGTATACACATTTTTGCATAGAGGGTTTTAAAAAGGACATTAAATGGAATAATATAGTTATTCTTTCAGCAAATGTTTATTGAGCACCTACCATGCTGGAATGAGTACCAGGCCCAGACAAAGCAAGATAGCCTGTGCCCTCATAGAAGTTAAAGTCAGAAAAGGAGAGGCCAGACAGTGAAGAGCACACCAGTTGGTTGCAGGAGGTCTAAGCACTGGAGAGGAGAAGCACCTTTGTGGTCTGAGAAGGCTTCCTGGAGGAGGTGACCTCTGGCCTGAAGCCCTGTCCTACAGAAAGCAGTGAAAGATGCACAGATAAGGGAAGAGTAGTCCAGCCAGCCCAGAGTGAGTGCTGAACTACTCTTTATCCTCCATTGCAAGGGAGATTGGGGAGTTTCCTTTTGTGGAGATTGTTTTCAGAAGAGAGCACATGCTCTCAGACAGACTAGGTATTAGTCTGACAAAAGACAGGCCAGGCCAGCTGGTGTTTCTAAGTCTGGTCTAGCTTTGCACATCAAGAATTCTTTTTCACAGGAGTTGCAAGCATAGGTTTATGAAAAGCAATCTTTCTAAAAGTGTCTTGAATTCCTTGGCAGTAATTTCCTTCTAAGCATGTCACTTTTAATATTAATAAACTGCTTTTTCAACTAATGGTATTTGCTTTCCAAGGAAGTCTGATCTGTGTTTCTGAAATCTTAATAATCTTTTGTTTCCCATTAAGAATTTGGATGAAGATGTGCATCAGCAAATTGCAAGGGAAATGAACCTCTCTGAAACTGCTTTTATCCGAAAACTGCACCCAACAGACAACTTTACACAAAGTAAATATGCTTTTTAAAAAACCGTTTTGAATGGCAGTGATAGGTGGGGGAGTGATATTTAAGGGAAGTGTCCTCTTATTTGTATACAGACAGATGATAGGTAGAGTAGAAGATTCTGATTTGGCTTTCAGTCATGGGGGAGGAGGTGTTGGTGAATCTGAATGCTTCCATTCCAGTTATAGTTCTGAGGAGCCCTAGGAAGCCTGCCTGGCCTCCCCACATCTTTTCATAACATGTTTTGACTATTAATCATGTGAGTGAAATATTTAGGAGAGAAGAAGAAAATGAGAAGTTTGTGAACTGCTTGCATGGAATGATCTCATCTCTCTTTGGCTTTTCCTCCTCTGAAGGCTCCTGCTTTGGACTTAGGTGGTTTACTCCGGCAAGTGAGGTCCCGCTCTGTGGCCACGCCACCCTGGCTTCCGCGGCTGTGCTGTTCCATAAAATAAGTAATGTGATTTTCTTTAATGAACCTATCACTTAGCAAATATTTAAAAAAAAATTCTCACACACTGTTTCTGATGGACCAGCGTGACTAGTATAAAGATGCTACAGAGTTTACTTCATACAGTTAATTATGTAGAAATAAAAACAGCAACCTTCATGACATTTTGTCCTTTCTGAGTACGTACCTGGCATCATTGGAAAGCTGTGGTCAGAGTGCCATTTTATTTTAAATAGGAGATCTGTGGTCTTTGTGACCAATGTGACAGCAGAGCTTCCACAGGCAGGATAATCATCTCACATAATATGATATCGGGATATCGGGAACTGAAAGGCACATTTTGCTCCAATATTTCCCCACCCATACTGAAATTCATTCCACAGTAGAACTTCTTTGCTCTGGATCTTAAAGACTCCTGGGGCCTGACTGGATACCTTAAGATGAACTGTAAGACCAGGCAGAGTGGCTCAAGCCTGTAATCCCAGCACTTTGGGAGGCCGAGGTGAGTGAATTGCCTGAGTCCGCGGATTTGAGACCAGCCTGGGCAACTTGACAAGACCTCGTCTCTACAATAAATAAAAAAATTAGCCAGAAGAGCTAGCACGTGTATGTAGTTCCAGCTACTTGGAAGGCTGAGGCGGAAGGATCACCTTAGCCTAGCAGGTTGAGGCTGTGTTGGCCCTGAGTGTGCCACTGCACTCCAGCCTGGGCGACAGAGTGAGAGTCCGACTCAAAAATAAATAAATAAATAAACAAACAAATAAATAAATAAAGAGGAGCTGCAGCACCTCTGTCCTTCCAGTTTCTATCTTAGCTGCATTCAGTTGAATGGACAAAAATCAGGGTTTTGTGTAACTGGGACAGAGGAGAGGTGCCTGGAGATGCCCTGAGAGGAGAGATAGAAGCAGCCACAAATAAGCATAGATAACAAACAAATGTAAACAAGGAAATAAACAGGATCACATGACAGAGAGTCTCCTTGGGGAGTTAGGAAAGGAGGGTATTTGGGGAGTTGCTTAGACCAGGATGGTAAGGAAAGGTGTGACAGCAAACTCCCCCCAGGAAGCAGATTCTGACACACACTGGCATGCAGGAAGGAATGAGGGCACTACTCTTGGACTGGACATTGGTAGGGGAGTAAAGAAAGCAGGATTGAACAGAGGAAGAAGTTGCAAAGTAGTAGCAATAAAGAAAGGCCTAGGCCAAATCCCCAGGGAGCTCCGAAACTGGGATTTCTTAAAGCAGTACAGTTCCAAACAGAGGCAAATATTCAGGCCCTTATACCCCCCACAAACCAGTCCCCCAAGGCCTGGAAAAGGCACATGACTTTGGGCAAGGTTGCTCAGTTCAGCCAAGGGCAATTCCCAGAGGTACTCAGCTGAGAGCTGTCAGCTACCAACACTCTAGGCAGCAAGGTCAGGGCCAGGGAGTGGGGATCAAGCAAGGCCTCAGGTTGCACCTGAGAACAGGTACCTTCTTAAATTTTGCGCCCTCTGGGACTTTCTTGCCTCACCCAGTCCCATCCCTGAGGTGGTGGATTGAGTATAGAATCCAGATGACATCACTCACTAGAGAAGAGGGTCTTTGGACTGAAGAATAAGATGAAGCTTCTGTAGTTAGAGTAAAAGAAGCATCCCAGGCAGGGCTACAGCACATGCAAAACCCTGATTGGTGGGAGAAAAAGTTAGAGTTGGGCCATGGCTCTGCTATAATGTAATCCAAAATACACTTCAAAAAGATTTAGTTTCTGTGGATAGGAGACAAGAGCAAAGGCAAGCAAGCATACTGAAATGTTCCTTAGGAGCCCAGACTTGAAAAATAGGTTTTACTAAAGTTGGATTGAATGTCTTTTGAAAACTGGGGCCACATAGGTTGTTATGGTGCTGACGTTTGGAATAATAACCCTGGGCGGTCTTAAGGTTAGATAAGGTATGACAAAATGCTTTGTAGAAAATAATGTATAGCCGGGCATGGCAGTGCATGCCTGTAGTTTCAGCTACTTGGAAGACTGAAGTGGAAGGATTGCCTGAGCCTAGCAGATTGAGGCTGTGGTGGCTGTGGATGTGCCACTGCACTCCAGCCTAGGTGACAGAGTGAGACTCCAATTCAAAAAAGAAAAGAAAAGAATGTAAATTTTTCTGCTCAGTGAAAGTTAATAAACAATACAAATTTCTCCACCTTTGAGATATGATTAAGTTTTACAGAAATGTTAAAGGAGGAAAAAAGAATTAGGTAACAAAGCTTTGTTTTCACTAAAAATGTTAATAGAGGGCCAGGCTCGGTGGCTCAGCCTATAATGCCAGCACTCTGGGAGACCAAGGCGAGTGAACTGGCAGAGCCCATGGGTTTGAGACCAACCTGGGCTACTTGGCAAGACCTGTGCTCTACAATACGTTAAAAATTAGCTGGGTGTGGTAGCACACGCCTGTAGTTCTGGTTACTTGGAAGGATGAGGCAGAAGGATTGCCGGAACCCAGCAAGTCAATGCTGTGGTGGCTGTGAGTTTGCCACTGCACTCCAGCCTGGGCAACGGATTGACACTCCAACTCAAAAAACAACAAACAAAACATAAACGTTAATATACACTGATAACAGATAAGTGGCCCAAGTGGTATAGGTAACATCAGTAACATCAGCATTTATCATGCATTCTTTAAGTCAAATTTTTATGTGTAGCTTAGTTTATTTAGGGTAAACTAGATTTGTTTTGTGTAAATTTGATATTTATGACATATGCTTTATTTGTCATCCCCTTGATATAGTTTAGACTAGAAGAGTTTATGAGTCTATAGATACTGTTGGTGGATATTTTTAAATCTGCATTAGAAAACATTATAACAGCCCTATGAGGTAGATTTTATTATTATTTTTTCAAGTTGGGGTCTTACTCTGTCACCGAAAATTGAGTGCAGTAACAATGCAGCCTTGACCTCCTGGACTCAGGCAATCCTTCCATTTCAGCCTCCCAGGTAACTGGGGCTATAGACGTATACCACCACGTCTGGCTAATTTTTTTTTTTTTTTTTTTGTAGAGACAAGGTCTCACTATGTTGCCCAGGCTGGTCTCAAACTCCTGATCACAAGCAATCCTCCTACCTCAACCTCCCAAAGTGCTGAGATTATGAACCACCATGCCTGGCTTAGGTTTAATTATTAACCTCATTTTACAGATGAGAAAACTGATGTTTAAGAAAGTTAAATAATTCGCTCAAAGGCACAGTTAATGGGTGGTAAACAGCTGGGATTCGAAGACTTGCAGGATGATACTAAGTCTAATTAGTTATGTTCTTGATTGTCAAGTTAAAATCCAGTGAGAGTTTTCTCCACTCCTCACCCCAACAACCCAAACCTGGGCCCCAATCATGGGAAAAAAGTAGCAGAAAGTCTAAGAAATAAGAGGTGTTTGAAACAGACATGAAAATATATAACAAAATTTATTTCTTATTTCTTGATTCCTTGTTTGGGCAGAAAACGTGAATAGCATTCTAACCTTTGTCACTCTGAGTGGAGAACTGAAGGCCAGAAAAGAAGAGGATGGCATCGTCCTGGACTTGCCTCTGTATCCAGCCCACCCCCAGGTCAGCTCTTTCTGATTATTGCTGTAAGCCATGACTGACTAACAACTCTCCTGTTTTACAATGATTTTATCTTTTTCTCCCCTATTTAGGACTTCCATGAAGTAGAGAACTTGATAAAGGTTGGTGAAAAGAATCAAACCAAAGCTTCATCATTTGTCAGTGTTTGAACACCAAGATTCGGTACCGTTTGATTCCAAAAGATAAGCCTTCTACCAGTATAAATGTTACATTTCTGGTTTGGTTTTTAATATTCGATCTATTTGGTAAGCAGATTGACCAGTTTTTCTTGACTCTTAATTGTCTGCACTAGCCTCCATGGTATGAGAAAAGAGACTGTGTGTGGCAGGCTGAGAGTGAAAGAACCAAAGGAGGTGGTGAGGTAGTGGGATAGTAGGATGTCTCAAGGAAACACAAGTCTCTGGGAGGAGACCAAACTTTAGGACATGAAGGGATGTTGAGTTTCTATCCTCTACTAGCTGGAAGGAGAGGAATGAGCCTAGGACATGACCATCCATGTAAGTTTACATATGAGAGTTGGAAATTTCTGGCAGAAAAGGGACATTGACTAAGATCCCTGCAGACAAGGTGAGGGAAAGAATGGAAACTGCCTGGCAGCTGTCAGTATCCCCAGTTGCTGTGGTGGAGGATGGGACTGTGGTGGGAGGACTGTGCTTTGATGGAGAAAACCAGGAAAACCTGGCCACCTCGACAGAGAAGATAAATTACATAACCCAATCTTCTCTTGGGGTCTCTGTGGGCATGGAACATGATGATGATGATGATGATAACACTTTTAGAGAGTCTCCTCTGTGCAGTGCCACGTGCTAAGCATTTCACTGCATGATCTCATTGAATTCTCCATGTTACTCTTTTGCCAGATTACCAACACTGTCACTTGACTGTGGTCTTTACTCACCCACATGGTTACACACTTCCTGTCACTGCTTTATCTAACAATGTTCCTTTGGGTCTCTAAGGTTCTGTAAACTATGCCAGCACTAACAATGTTCTGTGCAACTTAACTCACTGGCAAGAATACAATGTTGGACCTTTCAACCACTAGAACACAATTTTTTAAATCGACAGTTACAGAATTGTGGAGTATTTTTACACTGACCTTTTGTTAATGTAATTAGCAGTGTGTTTTGCATGTATAACTTAATAAATTCTTGAGTTGTATGACTGGGAATACTTGAATTTTTGAGACTTGAAATCAAACTCTCAATATTACCCAGGGAGGTAGGCACTACAGTTGTCCCATGGGGATGCCAGAGGACCAGAGCATCCGTGGATGACCAGTTGCTTCATGTGCAGAGAGAAGAGGACTCAGGTCAGGACCAGAGCAAGGGTTGTCATGAGAAAAACTATTCTGTAGTATAGTTTATTATGGGTACCATTGGGGTGTTTCTCAGTGAAATTTCACCTATAGCATTTATAATATCTTTAGTGTTTCACTTTATGTAAGCTTCCAAAGAGCGTAAACAAGCATCGTGTATCCTGATTTATACTCAGCCCCACCCACAGCTTGAGTTTCTGGAGACAAGTCAAATTTATAATGAACTATTTTAAGCATATCGGCAAGAAAATGGAAAATATCAGGGCATTCTTCATGGTAGAAAGAACTTAGTCTCTCTAGACCGCAGGGTCAGCATTTGTAAAATGGAGTCGTACAGAGTTATTTATTTTGAGTATGAGTATTGTCATTTTGTGTTCGTCCTTAGAAGCTGATGATAAGATTTTCAGCTGAGAATTAAACTTTCAAATCAGTATATGCACCCACACAGAAAAGAGCAGGGTTAGAGAGACTGAAATGCTCTGGCAAACATACAGGATCTGACTGTAGGAGTTCCCATTTCTTGAGGAAGAGACACTGGTCAGCCTATAGTCACAGAAGCAGAAGGTCCAAGCACCACCCATGGCAGAAACAATTCTGGCTGTGGGAACTTGAGTATCTTGGTCACTAACAAGAGAGTTAGAGGACCTGAAGCCACTTAATGGTGACCTACAGCTGCCATCTAATTATCAGCAGCTTTGCCTGGCAGCTGAGGTGGTGCCAAAGGATGCCTTGGCAGGGGCTGTTCCTTCATAATCTCCCTCAGTGTCCCAACCCATTCCCAAACAAACATACAAACAAATAATGTCCTTGGATATATGCAGTCTTAGGTAGAGTGAACTAAGGTATCTTGAGAAAATGTCGTTACTGATCTATAACATACAATCTAAGTGAAAATGGTGTGCTTGCCAAGCAGAGCAGCATAAGAGGAGTCCTCTGGTCCCCAATTCCAATCAAACTGCCAGCCCTGTGTCCTTGCCATGTAGAATGCTCTAGTTGCTGCAAAGGTACTCCACATGTATTATTTCACTTAATCCTCATAACAACTCTCAGAGGTGGGCCTGAGGCGTCATATCTCTAAAGACAGTAGACAATAGAAATTTAGATCCCTGACCCCAGGGCCACTCAGATCTGGGTCAAGCTGTGTGTGCATGTATGTGTGTGTGTGTGTGTGTGTGTGTGTGTATGTATGAGTGTGTGAGAGAGAGAGATCCTGGACCTCTCTGTCTCTTCTTTGTGGGGAATATACCCAATTGAAGGAATTGTGTGTATTGAGGCTTGTAGTAGACCTTTGTGCACAGTGTCTATTTTGAGACTGACAAAGCCCTCTTTGGTAGGCAGGAAACTGGCTGTCCTCGTGTAACATCTTAAACCCTGAAACTAAACTAACACTCTTGAGGATCAGAGATGATGGGTGTGCCTGGCTCACAGCAGATGCTTAATGAGAAGTCATTCCCCATTTCAGGGGACTTGACCTCAGGAATTTTTGGTCTGTCTCCCTAGACTGCCATAGGTGACACACTGGTTCAGGACATCCGCTATTCTCCAGATACACGAAAGCTCCTCGTCCGGCTCAGTGACACCTATGACAGGTAAGATTTTTGGCTGCCTCACTTTGGGAAAGGCTGAGCACCGGGATTTATAGTTCTGACTTGGTATGGCTGTGCTGGGTCTAATTAAACCATGATTTATGCAGCCAGGGAACCAGTAAGAAAATATTACCACTTGTTCTTTCCTCCCCTCCTGCTGAGCTGTTTGGGCAACCTGTAACCAGGCTTGTTTTAAGAGTCTGCATAGGGTGTGGTCTGTAAAATGGGTTTGTCCTAATCTATCTCGTTTATGAACAAGGTCATTTCTGGAGAATCTGAAAGTAAGCACAAATAATCTGGTGCAAGTTGAAAACACAGGGAAGGTGAGAGGACTCATTCTCACTCTTAAAGGAGAGCCTGATGGACAGACTCGAGCATTCGACTTTTACTCCAGATACTTTGCGCCATGGGTTGGTGTGGCTGAGGACCCTGTAACAGGTACTTTTTTCTCGAGTCCAGGGGAGGGCTAAAGAACAGAAGAGAAGGATAACAAATAGCTATTTAGTGCCCTTCACGTGACCTTTCAGGTTGCTTGGGTTTTGAGCTGCCTTGTTTCTTGATCTCTTCCCCTCCTCCTCCATCTCTTCTCTGAAGTCTTGTGAAAAACTCAAAATAAAGGAAGCAGTGTAGCGGGGTTAAACTTTAGTGTCAGATAGGCTCGGTTTGCATTCCTAGCTCCTTAGCTCTTGACCTTGACTAAGTGACTTAACTTTTTGAAGTCTCAGTTCCCTCCTCTATAAAATATTAACTTATGTAAACACAGTGCATGGTAAGCACTTAGTCCAGTGCTTGGCACGTGGCTAGTGCCCAGTCACTATTAGTTATTTTATTAAAAACAAGGAAACTGTTTCCCTGAGCCAACAATTCCAGATTGTCCACCAGCCAGAAGCAAAAGGGTAGAATCCAAGTTGGGCAGAAATGCCATACCTCTTACTCTTACCCTCTTTGAGAGCAGTAGGAATGCTTGGTGGGGAATGCTGGTGGGTAGAATGAGGGGGCCAGGGCCAAAGTAAGCTGGGCAGAGGCTTCAAGGCTCCCATTCTGGTCGTGTGGCAGGGCCTGGAGGGCTCAGTTATTCTCTAAGGAACAAACACTTTATATCCAAAGCCCAGCAAACAAGCACTTTTAGAAACTCAGAAAATACCCAACAACATCCATGCAGTCCATCTTCCCCATGGAAGAGAAGTTCTGAGCAGATTTGTGCATGCTGAGCTGCTTCACAAAGAACTTAATTGGCACACAGTACAAGTTTTTTCCCCTGTAATCATGCTTTTCTAGAGCATGGAACTTTTGAACTTCGATGACTAACTATCTGGGTTTGCTTGGGAATAAGGGGTTTCTTGGGATGTGGTATTTTCAGTGCTAAAACTAAGATACCGTACTTATTACTTTACATTTTGTTTTTTCATTTTATTTTTATGTTTATTTTTTTGAGTCAGATTCTCACTCTGTTGCCCAGGCTGGAGTGCAGTGACATAATCACCACTTACCATAGCCTTGGCCTCCTGGGCTCAGGCAGTCCCCCTGCCTCTGCCTCCTGAGTCCATGGGACTACAGGTGAGCACCACGCCTGGCTAATTTTTTTGATTTTTTTTTTCTTTGTAGAGATAGGGTCTTGCTATGTTGCCCAGGCTGGTCTTGAACTCCCGGGCTCAAGCGATCCTCTCGCCTCAGCCTCCCTAAGTGCTGGGATTATAGGTACAAGCCACTGCGCCCAGTCTTCTTCATTCTAATATCTACTTCCTGATCTAATAAGGTACAATCATGTGAAAAAATATTTCACTCCAAAGAAAGTTCTTTGGCATCACAAGCCCAGAAATGTTGGCTCAGTGGAAACTTTTGTGAGAGTTCCCACATTCCCTTGCATACACACCCTAGGAGGAAGGTGATATTTTCCCTGGAAAGATGTAGAAAGATTTATGTGAAGCTCTTGATTTTCCTACCAAGGGCTGATGATGTGCTGGTAGAAAAGCTGAGAATTAGAATCTGCAGTTTAATTCAGTCTTTAGAAACTGGAAGACATATTTGATACATAATTTGGCAGAGCTTGTCCTAAGTCATATGTCTTCCCTTCTTGCTCCAATTGTGAATTGGAGATTCACAATTCTACACCCTGCTGTGGCCTGGCCAGCACAATGATTATATGAGTTAAGGTTTAGTCAAACTGGATAATTGATTTTAATTGCTTGTAAATTTACCACAAAGTTACCCCTGTTTTCTTTGGGATTGTTTCCTAATGTCTTGCTTCTTTTAAGGGTCTGCACATACTGTTCTCAGCAGCTACTGGTCCCAGCAGCTGGGGAAGAAAGAAATGCATGGTAGGACAACTCTTTTCCAATTTCTTTTTTATTTTCCTAACTCTAAGTGAGTTCCTTCTCATATGTACTACTCCCTTTAAAATGTCATCAAATGGGATGTATCACCCATGTGAAAAATGAAAGGTTTTAACATTCCTTCACCCTTAAATATCCTCTCCCCTAACACACAGACACATCTGATACAATAACTGCCCAATAAGCGTTTGTTGAATAAAATTAATTAACTGTGTGCTTTTGGCCCCGAGATGTTATATAATATGATATGTTGAGACTAGATGATTGCCGAGGTTCCTCACTGTTACTGCTAGCCACAGGATTGAGTGAAACACGTTGCTTTATACCAAGTCTCTGGTGATTAACATATTGATCAGGGGCAGAGAAAAGAGAGTGCAGCCAATTGAGACTGCCCTGCCCTGATCACCAAGGGAGGATTCTGATCCTAAAGGATGAAGTTCTTACTAAATGGGGGGATTTAGGCCTTTGACCCTGATTTGGGTGGCTGTTTGTTTTTTTAGTGGTGGTAATTAATCTCCTAAGTACTGGAAGCTGAGGCTAAGCTTCTTTTGTGTCTGGCATATGTGATTGCTTGACTTTGTTATGAGTGCACTCTCTCTGTCTCCCTCTGTCCTATTCAGAGCTGAAAATATGGGGTCTTTTCAGGAGAGCCAAGACCTCTTCATTTTCTTAGACTTATGGGTCATGCCGCTATCTTTTCACACATCTTCCACAGGGGAAGAAGCTATGGGTGGGATGTGTCTGGGGCATTATGGGAAGTAGTAAGTAAGTGACCCAGGAAAAGACTCAGGAAGGGAAGATGTGGAGGTGTTTTTTTTTTTTTGTAGGTCAAATTGATTTTGTGGCCCTCTCAGTCCAGGAGAAAGGGAGTAGGATTAGGCAGTACCTTGAACAGATGAAGGACTTTATTCTTTACACTGACCTAGGACTCTCGAGTTTATAATAAGAAGTCTTTCACTATGTTCTGTTAATTAAAAATAGTGAAAATGCTCTTCATTTGTGTTTTCTGTAGCCTTTCAGTGCTCCCACCGAGGAGGAGAGCTGAAGATTTCACTGCGTCCAGATGGACGTGTTGATGTTAGTGGAGGTACTGCCATTGTTTTAGAGGGCACGCTGACAGCCTAGAGATGGATGTGCTGTGATGCTGCTGATTCTACGACAAAGTGTTTTCCACATAAAAAGAAATGTAAGGGGCTGTCTTTAACAAATTTGTAGAGTAGTCCACTTATGTTAAAAATTGAAAAATGAAGACTGGTTAATGGAGATTTAGTAATGCTTCCAAACTAATGAGCTAATGGAGTTTTGGCTCCACCCATGAGTATATCTGAAATGTAATTATCCAATAACAAAGAATAATGCTGTCACTTAATTTAATTATAACTACCAATCAGAGAAGGAGGAATACATTTCTAAGGAGTGAGAGTAAACCACTTACACTTGTGAGTACCTGATAGAATATTTTGCAGCAATTAAAATGATCCAATAACTATGTGATAATATAGGAAAATATTTCATGACATAATACTAAGAAAAAAATATACAGCAGGCCATTAAATGTTAGCAACATTATGCTATGTCTAAAGGAGCTTCTGAATTTATATGAACAAGTGTGAGCCATGAAGTTTTCAAAATGAAAATAGTTCACACGAAGGGGACAAGACTGGGAGTAATTTTAACATAACTAAAAATTATTTCCTTTATTGTTGCACTCATATGCAGTAACTAAAAATCAGGACAAAATCCAGAAAAGCAAGACCAAAAAGTGTGTATTAGGCTACTTTGTAGTAATAAAACTAAACACCAAGAGTAATATACCTCTGAATGTTTTCCTTGATATATGGCTTTAGAGTGATAATGGATTCTTCTCTTACCTTAATAAAATGGGTCTTAACATTAAATTCAGTTACATTTATAATATTGAATACCCTTAGGTGACTTTGGGGTGGGAACGTTTTCAAGTCATTAAGAGTTATTTGTTTAAGGTGATCTCATTGACGACAATTTTTTTTTTTTTTTAGATTAGAAAATACAGTTTATTTTAAAAGTAAATTAGAGAGGGAAAAAAAAGATTCCCCTCCCCAAAGTAGGGATGGGGCCAAAGCCAGGAAGCATGGCAACAGCCCATGGCCTCACCAGAGTCTAGCAAGGCAATGGCCCGACAATTTTTAGCTGTCTCAAAAACTGCAAGCAAATCAGTTAGAAATTCCTGTGTGTCTCACATTTTTCACCTTAATTGCTATCAGATTTCCTACTTTTACTGATTTTTGCTAAAGCATGTAAGAGTGAATTTATTATAGTAACAATCTTGTATGTCCCCCGATTTGCAATAAAGTCTGTAATTCACCAGTGTCAGTGCCTTAACTTAATGAGTCACCGGTGGCCTCCCCCAGACTCCACAACTGATCACAACACATCCATGTGTCAAAATACAACAGGTGAAAATCACCAGAAAGTTTTCACTAGGTGTGAGGTTTTCACAACATGGGACTAAACTATATGAATAATTTTATATAAATGCATGGTTGAAAGAACCTAAATTTGATCTCTCAAATATATGCTAAACTATTTATTTTGAGTCGGGATCTCACTCTGTCACCCAGGCTGGAGTGCTCACCATGACCTCAACCTCCTGGGCTCAGGTGATCCTTCTACCTCAGCCTGGGAATACAGGCATGCACCACCATGCCTGGGTATTTATTTATTCCTTATTTCTTATAGAAATGAGATCTTGCCATGTAGAGACAAGGTGTTGCTATGCTGCCCAGGCTGATCTTGAGCTCGTGGGATAAAGTAATTCTCCCGCCTTGGCCTCCCAAAGTGCTGGGACAACAGCATGAACCACTGTGCCCAGCTTACATTCTTAATAGATATTTTTTGGCAACAAGTCCCTGAGATGACTCTGGCTTCTTTTTTACATGAAAGTTACTATTTGGGCCAGGCATAGTGACTGTAATCCCAAAACTTTGGGAGGCCAAGGTGAGAGGATTGCCTGAACCCACAGATTCGAGACTAGCCTGGGCAACTTGGTGAGACCTCATCTCTATAATAAATCAAAAAATTAACCAGGCATGGTAGTGCATGCCTGTAGTTCCGGATACTTGGAATGGCTGAGGCGGAAGGATCGCCTGAGCCCAGCAGGTCGATGCTGGGGTGGCTGTGAGCGTGCTACTGCACTGCAGCCTGGGTGACAGAGTGAGACTCCAACTCAAAAAAAAAAAAAAAGAAAGAAAGAATGTTACTATTTGTAGCACCTGTTTGACTTTTCATCCTATATTTTCAAACCATATATTCACTTTTGTAAGTGATTTTTTGAAATTATTCATTTGACAATGGACAATTGCGTCTGAATAAGAACTGCCGGTCGTGTTGACTATATTTCCTCCTCAGCCTGCTGAAGACCCAGATGCTGTAGTGTACATGTGTGTGAGAAGTAGCTACCAGGGAAGCAGGGGTGGGGCAGGACAGGCGCACAAAGAGACAGCCAAGATATCTATTTCTCTTTGTATAAATATGTTTATACCTATATTAACATAAATATATTTAAACACTAAAATCACATTTGGTCCCAACTTGAGCACATATTGTCAAATTCAACTAAATTTAAATGCCGTGTAATGGGATCCTAATGCACTACCAAAGTGGGGATGCTGATGTTTTGGTGACATCTGCCTTTTAGGTCCATTTTGCTGAATCTTCCTGTTTTGTCTCCATAATCACTAAGCAGCTTTTTTTTTTTGTATGAATATTTTTAAATGCCATTTTTGGGTAGCAGGAGCCAAGAGCCCCTGGGATTAGCATGCTGGGATTAGTGAATGAGTTATCTGTTGATATGAGCAGGACAGATTTGAGAGTGCTGCTTCCAGCACGTGCTCTGACCTCTTCTGCTTCTGCCCACCTTGTACTTACCTGATCTTCCTGAGAATGGACAGAGGAGAATATGGGGAGATTGTGAGAACTGAATTCCAGCACTCAAGTCTATTATAATGGTTGAAAAAAATGCCCAGCAAAGCTGGCATTTTCCTAGTGTACTGAATTAGACTAAATTATGCTAACATATGAAATATCTACAAAATCACAGTGACTAAATAGCCAACATTTATTTCTGCTCAGTTGTCTAGCACAGGTTGGGAAGAGTTTTGCTCCTTATGATCACACAGAGACCCAGGCTGGATTTTCATCTGCCATCTCAACATGTGGCCTTTGTAGTTGCTGCAACCAGAGGAAAGCGTATATGGAAACTTTACTTTGCTTTGGCTGAGAAGTGATAGGTGTCATTCTATTCACAGCCTTTTGGCCAGAACTGGTCACATTGTTCCATCTAACAGCAAAAGAGCTAAGAAATGTGGATGAGCTCATGGATAGTCTGTGCACAGTAAATATAGCTGCTACACCTGGGGAAGGTTTGCAGGCCATTAGATGGTTCTCTCTAGGACGGCATTACTTGGGTAAATATATCACAGCCCAGGGGGTTAGGGGTGCAGGCTCAGAAGCCTATTATATAAGTACATTGATCATCTCTCAAGGGAAGACTCACATTAACCTAGCACTAGAGACTGATATATAAAGCCAGGACACCAATTTGTTATTTTACAATAAGAAATATAACCATGGAATAGATTAGATCAAAGGTTTTTCTCCCCATTATATATCTGTTTGGGAAGCCAAGTTGTAATCAGAAAACTGCTTGATTACTATGGAGCCAAAACAAAGAGAGTCAGTAAAACAGACTTATATGGCAGATGTCACTGAGATATGATAAGCTCCCTCACTTTGATAGTGTATTAGAATCCCATCTTACTGCATTTAATTCACTTGAATTTAGTGATGTGTGCTCAGGTTAGGACCAAATGTGATTTTAGTGTTCCAATATACTTATGAGGGGGACCCAAAAAAACCCCAGAATTCTCGTTTGAAGGGTAAGCTCCTTGTAGAACAAGCTTCCCACAATAGGTAAGTGTTTTAGGAACCCATCAGCATCAGTGTGCTGGCTAATGTTGTTGTAAGAGGCTGCATTCGGCTTTAGTAAATTTTTTTTTTTGAGATTCTTTTGGAGTGCGTTTGCCCATTTCATTTTTTTTTTCTTTCTTTCTTTTTTTTTTTTTTTTGAGTTGGATTCTCACTCTGTCACCCAGGCTGGAGTGCAGTGGTACACTCACTACCACCCCAGTGTTGACATGTTGGGCTTAGGCGATCCTTCCACCTCAGCCTTCCAGGTAACCAGAACTACAGGTGTGCGCTACCATGCCTGGCTAATTTTTAAAAATTTATTTATTGTAGAGACGAGATCTTGCCAAGTTGTCCAGGTTGGTCTTGAATCCGTGGGCTCAGGCAATCCACTCGCGGCCTCCCAAAGCTCTCGGATTACAGGCTGAGCTACTGAGCCTGGCCAATGTCAGTAGTTTTAAGTTGCTAAGTTGTAATTTGTTTTGTTGTGATAGATAACAAATACACATGCCATCTTTATCTTTTCATTTTTAATGTTATTTATGAAAATTTCATATACATTCAAAAGTAGAGAATAATGAACTTCTATGAACCTGTAACCCAGTTTCAACAATTTTTGACACATGGCCAATCATCTATACCTCTACCCACTTCCCCTCCCCACTGGATTATTTTGAAGCAAAGCCCAGACAAAAATCTTATATTCTTTTTTTTTTGGATTTGGAGTCTCACTCTAGTTGGAGTGCAGTGGAACGCTCACGGCCACTGCAGCCTCGACCTGCTGGGCTCAGGCGATCCTTCCACCTCAGCCTTCCAAGTAGCTGGAACTACAGGCATGCGCCACCATGCCCAACTAATTTTTTGATTTATTGTCCAGATGAGATCTCACCAAGTTGCCCAGGCTGATCTCGAATCCATGGGCTCAGGCAATCCTCTCACCTCAGCCTCCCAAAGTGCTGGGATTATAGGTATGAGCCACCACGTCAGCCTGAAATCTTATATTCTTATCAGCAAATATTTCAGTATTTATCTTTTAAATATAAGTACTCTTTAAAAAAGTAAACTTGACTGGGCACAGTGACTCATGCCTCTAATCCCAGCACTTTGGGAGGCTCAGGCAGGAAGATCACTTGAGTCCAAGAGTTCAAGACCAGCCTGGGCAACATAGCGAGACCCCATTCTATTTTATTTTATTTTTTAAAAGTAACCTTGACTGGGCACAGTGGCTCATCTGTAATCCCAGTACTTTGGGAGGCCGAAGCAAGAGGATTGCCTGAGTCCAGGGGTTCAAGACCAACCTGGGCAACTTGGTGAGACCTTGTTTCTACAATAAAAATTTAAAAATTAGCCAGCGTGGTAGTGCATTCCTGTGGTTCCAGCTACTTGGAAGGCTGAGGTGGAAGGATCGCCTGAGCCCTGCAAGTTGAGGCTGTGGTGGCCGTGAGAGTGCCATTGCACTCCAGCCTGGGCGACAGAGTGAGACTCCAACATAAACAAACAAATAAGAAAGATAATCTTAATACTAATATCATGTCTGTGGTAGACAGACTGTTAAAGTGGTCTCCTGGCGTTCCTGCTCTTGTGTAATCATCTCCTCCTGAGAGTGTTTGCTTCTAACCAATAAAGTTCGACAAAGATGATGGAGTGTGTGATTACATATACATACTGCAAGATTGTAGCACAGTCTTGGCAAAGTCTCTTTCTCCCTCCTTGGTTTTGAGGAAGCAAGATACTATGTTGGGGAACCCGAAAGGAACTGAGCATGTCTTCTAGAAGCTCAGGGCAACCTGTAAACAATAGCCAGCAAGAAAACAAGGCCCTTAGTCCTACAAGAGCAAGGAACTGAATTCTGCCAATAACCTGAGTGAGTTTGAAAACAGCTCTTTCCCCAGTTGATTACTCTTTTTTTACCCCGCTAGTTGATTATTCCTATGAGACCGAGACCCCAACCCTAGCCAGCCACCTGATAGCATCCTTGCAGAGGACCCAGTCATAAGGGGACTTAGAATCCACATAAACTGTGAAATAATATGTGTGGTTTGCAGTCACTAAGTTTGTGGTAAAATTGGTATGCAGCAATGCAAAATGAAAACAGCATCCAAAAATTAGAAAAAAATACCTAATATTA